GGGGGGGGGGCAAGTGCCCCACCTTGCCCCTACCTGCGGGCGCCCATGGGTACAACACTATTCTAAATCAACACAAGTATAGCTCAAACGAAACGTCGCTAATTTTGGGATGACAAGTTCGACTCAGTCTAACTAAAAATATTACTAACTGATTGACATGCAGGACGCTTAAGAAGAAAACAACAACAACAACAACACACACACACACACACACACACACACACACACACCTTGACGTCATGGCGTAACATGTAAAATCCTCACCCAGAAATCAGCTTCACAGTTACGGATTACGACCAAGAACTGTGTATCCTTATTGTTGACAGGGCGGCACGTTGCTAAATAGAAGAAACGTGGGCAAACATTGCCCGACAAGCATTTTTTTTCTTTTTCTAACCAGGTTTGTCATGTTTGGTTGTTGTTTTTTTTTTTCGTTTGTGTCCCTTATGAAAAATTCTGTTCATAAGGGAAATGAAAAAAAAAAGGGGGTGGGGGGGGGGGAAGGAAATGGAGGGCGGGGGGTCTATTTGGAAAGGGGTACGGGGAAGTGACCCGCGGGCGTAATGTCACTGGGCGAAAAAGTGGGGTTGACTGCTCTACCTGGAAGTATTTAAAGGCCACGCCTCTTTTTTTCCTCCCAGGTTTCGGCTGAATTTAAATATTTGATTTGATTTTTTCCCTCATGGCAAACTTAAACAGAGACTGGGAGATGGCTACCTCGAAAAAATAATAACGCGGGCCTCATTGAATCGCCTAAGTTAAATAAGACCCCCCCCCCCACCCCCCTCACCACCAACCTCGACTTCAACAATGGCGACCAGACTACATTTTCCACGGATGCATGCTGGGGAGCTGCCCGCGTACAAGGTCAGGAAATCATGAAATATACCCAGCAAATATGAGAGAAACGAGACGAATGCTTAGATGTATGGAGGATGTTTTGTGTTTTGTTGGTTACCACGAGGGAGAAAAATGATACGACAGTATTTTTCTAAATAGAAATAGCGTTGGTCCTTGTTTAAAAGAAAAGAAAAAAAAAGAAAATTAATAATGGGAGAGATCTGAGGATATCACATCTTTACACTGACGTAGCTACCGTGAGTGTCACCGTGGGTGGGCCAAATGTTTTGCCGCCCCAGCACGAAAAAAACAAAACAATTGCAGTTGGTCGAAAATGCAAACCCCCCCCCCCCCCAATGTAATGGAAAAAGTGCCCCCGGGGTGGAAAATCCACCCCCCGCACCGCGTTTTACACCACTGCTTCCTTGCAAAGACTAAAATTAATAAGATATCAGTTGGTGATGGCTTTTGCCCCCACCTCCAAGAAAGGGTGCTGTTAAGTCGTAGCGCCCCCTCAACTCTCCATGTCCAGACGTCGAAATGAGACACAAACAATCTGTCTAAACTAAGCAATATAATATGATAAGATTTAATGTTTGTTACAATTACAAGCAACACAAATTCAAACTGTTTATGACTTCATCAGTACAACAACAAAAAAACAAACAAACAAACATTCGTGAATACAAGTATAAAAATATATTTATTCTTGATTTGATACAGTTTTTAACTTCTGTTTCGTTTAGTTTTCCCGATGCACATTTTGTACAATTAAAGTTTAGGGATTTACGTGTATTTTAAAGTTAACGTCTGATTACCCGGCTTGTTGACGGTCCCACCTCCATTTGTTTCATCACGTGTTTAAATTATTATTTTTTACAGTATCAAGATATTTTATACATTTTTTTTGGTACACATTTTATCGCACACAGAACAGTGTGAGCGGAATAAAATACAACAATCCTTAGCCATGCTAAAATATACGCAGAGCCATCGCGTGGGCCCTGCACCCTTGCGGCTGCAGCAGGGCCTCGGATATTTAAGGGGCTCAAAGTTTTGATGTGGACAAAAAATTAATATTCGAATTTGAATTCAATGATATAAAACCGGGGAGGGGGGATGTATGTGAATAAAGTAAAGTAGTTCTTTAGTTTATTAACTGACTATCCATTAGGTGCAACCATGGCCGCCCGCAGAAAACTTTCTTAGGGGGGGGGGGGGGGGAAAAAAATCGATGAACTTTCCAGGAAAGGGGGGGGGGGGTTTTTAGTAATGTTTTAATTTAGTTTTAATTTACTGTAGCGTATTTGTATGGTGAACAAACGGACAGGACATCAACTTAGTTACTTTCTCTTTATTTTCTCTTTAGTTTAATAAATTTTTTGTCTATTTTTGTCTAAAA